TCCATGCAGGGAGGCCTTCCTCTGCTATTCCCCAATCCGGCCCCGGAGGTGGACTTGGCCCCAGAGGCCCCCCAGCTGCCCCTCACCCTCAACCCCACCCCCGTCACGGCGCCCTACCTCCCCGAGAACCACAACGAGCCGCGCAAAAAGAAATACGCCAAAGAAGCTTGGCCGGGCAAGAAGCCCACTCCGTCGTTACTCATCTGACCTTTGACCTGCTGCTGCTGACCTTCAGGTCAGCACCTGAACTACAGAGACTGTGACCTGCAGCGACTTCCTTCTTGTTATCCCTCTTTTTTTTTAAAATTGTTCTGATGGGAAATGAACAGCTAGGTGGCGTGTTTCTGGATGTTCTCTCCACCACTCAGTGTTAGCAGTGGGTGCGTCGAAACAAACCGTTGTCATGGTGACGAGGCAACGACAGTACATCTGTCCCAGAGTTGTGCTTTAAGCGTTTTTTTACTGAAGGAAAAAAAAATCCAACCTTATTTTTGCTCCTCCAATATTTTGATAGTTTTATCAGATGCGTAGCTGAAAAGTACTTTTGTATCTTAACATTTTACTGTGAGAAGTCGGGGCGGTGTCGAACGGAGCAGAACGTTGTTTTGTTTGTTTTTTTATAATAATTTAAGGAACTCTTTAAGAAGTTCAGCGTCCGCTCAACGACTCATTGACGCCAACATCTGGACAGAATGACGACAGAATGTTCTGTCTGGAGCCACGACACGAAACTCTTTGGACAAACAGACGCAGGTCTGACTGAATTTACTGGTTCTGTCCGACAGTTGTCTCTGGGTTCAAGTCCGCCGCCGTGGCGATCCTGCGGTGAAAAGCCGTTAGTCAACAGTTCGACGCTCGTTATGTCCTAAAACTTTTATTTTCCAGTTTGTTCACTTTTTAATGGTTTTGTCGTCCACCTATGTTTCTGTTGCGAATATAAGCAGTTTATGAAGTGAGTTTTTCTATGAACCGATACTGAACGGTGATATTGTGGACATATAGTACTGTGCAAAAGTTTTAGGCAGGCTGTTTACTGTGTGCCTTTTTGGTCGAGAGAACCAGGAAATCAGAAAAAAAAAATTTCCCAGCCATCCCAGGTTGTTACACTTTTATTTTGTTCATGTATTTAAGACAATGGATTCAAGTGTTTTTTGTTTTTTTTTTGGCTCCGACCCTGGAAACTGTCATTGCTGTGGCCACGCCCCCATAATTGGGAAACAACTGAACAGGTCCAGCAACGTAGCTGCTGTTCTTTCTCACAGTTGTTCCATCTGCAACTAAATCTGGGGGAGAAATGATCTGGTCCAATGTTCTTTCTCACAGTTGTTCCATCTGCGACAAAAAGAGAAATGATCTGGTCCATAAAGGGAGAGGGGGCGGGGCTAAATGTAAACACCTGCTTTTTAAGCTTTACATAGTACGTTGAACTGCTAGCACTCACCTAAGGCCTATCGTTAAATCGGACTATCTCGTAATTCCAGTCCGGTTCTCTCCGGGTTCTTCTTGACCCGGGATCTGAACCAAGACCAGCACTGTGGACTATATTTGTCCTCAACTCTTCTGTTCCACCTGGTGGTTCCATCTGATGTGTACTCTGACCGTCTGTCTTCAAATATCACGGAAGTTTCCGTCCACACTGACACTGACTCGCGTGTAAGTCTCTGCCAGCAGGGGGTGCTGACGACAATGAACGATATAGTACTGTTGGTTGAATTGTTGACACTATTAGAACCGTTGCTTATAAAGGTCCAAATGATTTGGCCTAACCTCGTCGTGAAGACGGCATTGACTTAACAACGCCCCCGTGTGGTGCAATGACAAAATGGTGTTCCGTGTTTTTTTTTTATCTCATAAATGTAAAACATCAAGTGAAAAATAAGGCGTAACCAAGTGGAAAGCAGAGTAAGTGGTTGGGTTTTTTTTGTTTTGCTGGTTGAACTTTACTTCACATTTTCTCCTAATAAACAAATGATCTTGGTACTGGTCATTTACTTGAACCCCCCCCCCAACACTCATTTGCATAAACTGAGACCATCTAAGAGGACTTGAATGCTCTTCAGTAAACAGTTTTCATTCTTTTTTTTTCTTTTTTTTTTAGAATATTCAAATAACACATTCTACGTGGAACATCTGGAGAACTGTTCTGTTTCTGTTTTTATGCTCATGTAAATAAAAGAAATGGATTGTTTTTGACTCACAGCCTTCAGGTTTGTTGTTACTTTACTCTCACTGGTTAATATTTCATACGGAGCTAGGGTCCCAAATCACTGGTGCGGGGACCCGTACTGGGCCGTGGATCATTGGTACTGGGCTGAAACTAACTTCAGTAGAAATAACAAGATAATATCAGTGATTCTTCTGCAGTTTTGAGGGTAAACGGCTGTAAAATATCTGTCTCTGTTTATATTGGAATCGGAAAGATTAAGTGTTTGGACAATTTCCAGCTGTCTGTTGATGTGGCTGTGCCAAAAGAATTCTCCCAACAGGAGGAACAGAAACTAGGACAGTATCTGATTATTACGTAATGTTTCACTGACAGTTTTACATTTTCCAATATTGGGAAATAAAACGCTCTACTGGTTTTAATCTTCACCGACGTGACACTTTGACAGAATTAATGTTTACCTACACTGGTGTGGTGGTTAAAGGTAAAGGTCAGGGTCCACCGTTACAGAAGTAGAAGAAAGTTCAGACACGGGCGTGAACTGTTGCCGGGTCAGGGCGTAGCACCGCGCTGGGTCAGAAAGTCCTGACTCCTGCAGGTGTCTGATGTTAGAGACTGAATAAAACCTGAATGGAAACCTGTTCTAATGGGTTTTGTTGTGACCTGGTGTCAAAGGTCATCCTGCAGAATTCTCTGATGGAAACACCACAGAAGAAGAAGAGTTAGAAGAAAAATAGATTTATTATTTTTCAGAAGTAAAGATTTTTCTTGTTGATTTCCCCTCGTACAATCATCTACAGGATCCTCCTGTACAACGGCTCTAGTCAAAACAATGGAGAGCGGGGGGGGGCGGGGGGCTGGGTGTAAAAAGCAGTTAAACATTAACGTTTTTTTAATGTGTTAAAGTAAAACATTTGTCAGTTTGAACATTTATGAGTTTAAGGAACGTCTTCAACTTTGGTCAAAGGTCCTTCACATCTGAGAGGAAACCAAACATCTGCTCGAGTTTGGTTTGGATCTGTGGAGTCACATGACGTCAGCGTTGAGCCACAGGAGCCACGCTGCAGCTGTCAAAACTCTGGGGTCTGACCTTTGACCTCCGTTCTCACTCCTCATCGTCCTTGTCTTGATCTTCTCTCTATTTCCTGTTGTCCTCTGACTCCACTTCCTGTATCCCAGCCTCTCTTGGTCATTGGCTGTTACAAACTGTTCTTCACAGTTGGCTCAATCATGGGTTCGCTCCACCTGACCGTGGTTCAGAAGTGCAGAACTGGACCTGGTTTCTTGAAGATGTTGGACCATCTCGTCTGAGAAGCTTCTTCATCCTGGTTTGAACCAGAGAAACTGCTGGACGAGAGGTGAAACATCTGGAGGAGACCAAGTCCAAGTGGGTCCAGGATCTAGACTGAGGATCTACACACAGTCTAGTCTTTTTAGTTTGCAGAGAAGATTGAATTTTTAGCAGCTTTAGTCACACATTTCACAGAGAATCATTTCTTTCACTTATGAATCCACGGGTTTGATTTTGATGTGGATGCCGTTCAGTGAGCGCAGCACCAGCCTGGGGATCAATTTGGGCGTCTGCGTTGGGTCCTGGATCAGACGATACCTCTTCAGTGTCAGGGCCACCACCACCTTCATCTCATTCATGGCAAAGTTCTGACCAATGCAGTTCCTGTGGGGGTGGGGAGGAGTGGGAGTGGGTGGGGGAGTGGGAGGGCGGGGGTGGGGGTGAGGTTGTTATCGGTCAGCAATCACATGAGAAACAAATCAAAACACAAAGAAGATGGAACCATGTTAAAGTGGGCCTCACCCTGGGCCACATGACGGCACAGTGGCTCAGGTTCATGCCCCGATGTCACCCCCCCTTTGTAGATAAGACTATTGTAGCGCCCCCTTTTCTCCCCTTCACTCAATAAAGTCACAGCTTTTGCTTCAAAACTCTGTGACTTCTGGGAAAGAATGATTTGCTCCGTTTTCACCCCACAAAACCTCTGCACCCCACTAGAGGGTGCTGCCCCCGATTTCTTGTTTCTTAAACAAACACTGAATTTTATGGTCTGACCGCTATGGTCACATGTTGTGTGGACAAACCTGGGGCCTGCGGAGAAAGGCACGAACGAGTGAGGCGACCTCTTGGCCACGTTCTCAGGGAGGAAACGCAGTGGGTCAAAGACCTGGAGGAAAAATTCAGAAGATCAACAACATAATCTTTATAGTCCAGAAATAACCATCTCTAAAAGTGCAGGAAGATCCACAGATGGATCATGGGAGACTTTGAGGTCATGTGACCAGGAAACCACGTGATCTGGACTTACGTGAGGGTTCTCCCAGACGGCTGGATTTCGATGGATGGCGAACATCGACAAAGAGACGTTGCATCCTGGAAAAGAAAAACTTTGGTTTTAGTCAGATACACATGTAGTACTTCATGTGGACGTTGTACTGACCAAACAGAAGTGAACCCACAACCTCAACTATAATGTTTTAATTTTCTCTTTTTTGCTCCATAAATAACAGCTGATATGCTAACAGTGCTAAGCTAATCCACCGTGACTTAGGTTCCAGCTGCTGTCCCTGTGACACAGGCCGGACCGTGACATCACAGCGCTCGTACCTGCAGGGACCGTCACTCCATCAAAGAAGGTCATGGGTTTGGTGAGTTTTCGGGCGATCCCCGGCACAGGAGGGTAAAGTCGAAGGGCTTCTTTGATACACATGGTCGTGTATGGGATTCTGTTCAGATCATCCCTACAAACCAGTGGAGATGACAGTGTTGACCACAGATATACACCAGAGCCAGACCAGACGTGGACCTGACCCGGACCAGCTCACCAGTCGATGGTGTCTTTGTGCTGCAGGACCTCAGTGATCTCCTCCCTGCACTTTGTCTGGTGTTCTGGGTGACAGGCCAGACAGTAGAAGATGAAGGAGATCCCGCTGGCTGTGGTGTCGTGGCCCTCAAACATGAAGGTGTCAACCTCTGCTCGGATCTCTTCATCCGACAGACCGATGTGACTCTCATCCTGCAGGTGGAGAGACGGACAGAAATGTTACTGAACTGAACAACCAATGGAGTCACGACGAGTGGAGTCACTGCACCACACCACTGCACCACTGCACACAACCTCTGTTTTTAACCCATCACCAAAGTGAAACCTCAGTGGTAACTTGGGGTTTCACTCGAACTCGAACCTCAAGCCTTCTGGACCCAAGTCAGCTTCCTTAACCACTAAGCCACCACTGCCCCAAATTGTTGTGTTAGCAGCAGCTGTTAGCTGTTAACCTCTGCCCCCAGCAGGTGTCAAGCATGTGGTTCCTCTGGGAATCAAACCCACGACTCTCTGCTCTCTGCTTCCGAGGGAGTCGTGCTAAACGCTACACCATGGAACTGAGTCTCGTCGAATCAAGTCAAGCTCAATCAACATAAGTCGAATCAAGCCGAGTCATGCCAAGTCCAGTGCAGTCCAGTCCGGTTCAGTCCAGTCCGGTCCAGTAAAGTCCAGTCCAATTCAGTCCAGTCCAGTTCAGTCCAGTCTGGTCCGGTCCAGTCCACTACAGTCCAGTCCAGTTCAGTCCAGTCCGGTCCAGTCCAGTCCTGTAAAGTCCAGTCCAGTCTGGTTCAGTCAAGACGTTTTGAGTCAAGCCAAGTTTGGTCAAGTTAAGTAAATTTTAACCAAATGTCAAAGAGGTCACATGGACTTGATCTATAAAAAACTCATCAACCACCAGGTCATGTGAGCAGATCCCATTTTAAACCACAGTGACACGTCGTTCATGTCACAGCTGTCTCTGCTCATACATTACTGAACAACCACAGTGGGTGAAATGTTGTGTGGATGTGTGACCAGAGAGGATCAGTTCACCTGCAACTAAAACACAAAGTAAAACTTTAGCTCAGGTCTTTCAACATGGACAAATCCACAAGTTACACTCACTGCCCCAGTAACGGAGGGTAACTAAACTTACCCTGGCACAGAGCAGGATATCCAGAAAGTCCAAGTTCCTCTTGGATTGTATACTTTCCAGCTCTTTTTCTCCCTTCAGCGTTTCCTTTCTCTTTTTAATGACCTCCTCTGTAGAAGACAGAAAACGTCAAACATGCACGCTTTGTCCACTAGGGGGACTGTTTAGGTCAAACAAGTGTTTGTTAAACAGGTTCTTACCTGTGTGATTGTGAGCGATTTTACACGCTTTCCTGTATCTGTAACCAGAGGGGCTTAGGTGGAAAATGAGGTCGCTGTGGTACGGAAAGACCCTCAACCTCCGGCTGATCAGATACGACAGCTCGTACACCGCTTTGATGTATTCGTTAGTTCCACTGAAAATGAAAAACAAAGAGAACATTTTAAACCCAGGTCAAGAACGATGAGATGAGACGTTCTTTGTTCTTTAATGTACATGGGCTGGGGGTACAGTCGTGGGGGACTTTGGGGGTCACGAGTGTGAAGGTGGAGTTTAGCAAATTTTAAAGTGTTTTTATTAAAACACTATTATCAAATATCTCATAGTCAAAGAAGTAATTCATGAAGAGCACAGAGTTAGCGTCACAGAGTTAGCATCACAGAGTTAGCATCATGGAGCACAGCGTTAGCATCAGTGCTGTGTTTTAGTGAAAGCTCCAAATCTTGTAGACATTTATAAAACCTTTTAATCAGGACATGGGTTCGACCAGAATATTTCAGCACTCCTCGTCTGAGTCACGGTAAGATAATTAGCTTGGCCTTGTTAGCAGGCTTCACCAGAATGAGGGCAGAGAATTAACCAGCTTCATGACACATGAGTAAGAAAGTGACTAAGTGGCCGAATGTTTTTTTATTTCAAATGAAGCTTAGGACTTGAATTATATTTTATTTGTGTTTTAGTTACACAATTAGATAAGTATATTAAATTCAGTATCGTGTATCGTGTTCATCCTGTTTATCTGGATCATGGAGAACGTCAAAAGAACTGGTTATCCCTGGTGCTCATAAATCTCTATGGTGTTTGTGTGAAGGTAACAGGAACTTGGCAACAAGTCTCTGAAGATGTAAAGCTATAGCGATGAGCTAAAGTAATCCCTTGGTCTCAAAGTCTTTTTTCTTTCTGTTGACATGTTGAATGTTCAGAATGTTCTCATTATATTTACCAATATAGAATAGACCCAGTAGGTGGCAGTAATGTAACCTTATTAGCTATTTTACAAGATTATATTCATATGTAACAATGGGCGTGACTTTGTGACTTGTAGAACAATATGTAGTTTAAGCACAAGCAAAAAAAAAAATGCTGCTACATAGCTACACATTCACTGCTAACAAGCACAACGTAGCGGAATAATCGTCCCCTCACGAACACCTTCACTCAGATGTCACTAACAACCTGTAACTGGAGGAGGGTAAACAACCCACATTGTACTGTTTCACCTGAGTGACACCACAGGTGGGCGCTCCGCAGGGACTCACCTCTCAGTCTGACAGTTGCTGCTGTAGCTGAACGCACATTTCATGATCGTGTCCAGTGTCATTAGGCTGACGTGTTCAAACAGCTCGAAGGACTCCTCGCTCTTAGTGTAGCTCTCCCATTTTTTCTTGGAACAAATGAGCGGGAAAACGGGTGTAAATATTCAAACTCTTCAACTTGAACGAGGAGGCAGAGTCGAAAAGTCCTCAGACGGACGTGTTGACGTCTGCAGGTGTCTGGTGTTACTGACTAGAACCAGTTCAGACTGGTCTCTGTGTGTCCGACAGCTCTGACCAGTTTGAACACCTTGACCTGTGTGACCTTTGATTTAATCACATATTTATTTAAACCTTAAAAAAACATTTAAAGGACCTGGATTTCAGGCCACAAAGAAGGAATTCTCTGATGGGGAGACAGAGTGACGTTTTTTAAATTATGTCTTGGAACTTTTTGACTTCCCTCCAATAATTTCAAATAAACATCGTTGATGCAGTTTTTTAGTTTTCACCTACCAACATCGTCGCCGTTGTGTCGGACATCACCTTCACGTACGCCTTTAAGATGTCGTAGTGAAAACCTGGAGTCAGGAGCCGTCTATTGCGAAACCACCTTGGACCACTGGACACCAGCAGACCGTTACCTGGAGACCAGCACAGTGTTTACAGGACCCCTACAGGACACTTCATGAAGATAGACGAGATTCTTGAGGTTTTTTTCAGTTTTTCTTACCGATCCAAGGAATACTAAACCGATACCCTACGTCGTCCTTTGGTTCTGTGGAGAAAGAAATGTATAGTATAAATCAATATTAAAAAAAATATTATATATTTAAAAAAATAATTAAATAAAATATTATCAATCAACTTTCTTTTTCAAAATTCTTTGTTTTCTTATTTTACCATTATTTCCCTCAGAATCTGCCGTTGTTGTTTCCATCTGTTTGTAAACCACCTCAGGCTGATGCTACTTTTTTTTATTTTTTACTACCATTGCGTGATAACTGTCTTTAAAGGGACCTGCCTCAACATCACACCCGTTCTAAATGAGGATAAAGAATGTTCACACACCTGTAGACGACAGCAGGGCCTTCACATACTCCGGGTGGTAAACCACAAGGAAACACATGAACGGACCGAACTTCATGGTGAAGGCGTCGGGGTACTGTTTGGCCCACTTCAGGATGAGGTCAAAGTCTGTCCCGTCCAGTTTAAACTGGAAACAACAGCAGAGGTAGATTCAGAAACTGCAAATGCATGTTGTCTACTAGGGTGGCTGGGAGAAAAAACAAAACATATATATAAATATATAAGGGATAGATGGAAGACAAAGGAGCTGCCAGACAGGAAAGGGTGGTTGGTGTAACAGTAGAAGCCTCCATACTGGTGTAGAGCATGTAAGCCAGGGGTGGAGGAAGGTTAGTGACTGATGACCAGGGGTGTCAAACATACGGCCCGCAGGCCAAAACCGGCCCGCTGGGGGGTTCAATCTGGCCCACTTGGTGAATTTTGAAATAGAAAAAATAAATGCACAAACACTTTGTGTTGATTGATGTTTTTTGTGATTATATTTCTTCAAATACTCGTACTCCTTGTCATACCTCCTCTGTTTACTGCAGTAATACTGTCACCTGGAATCAACTCCTCCACTCACGTCCATCCCTGTGAGCTAGCGTGCATGTTGTCCTGAACTGACCTTACTTTTATCCTCATTACACACCTTAAATGAGTTGACTCTGGCGTCCACCGGGGCATGTGCGCCCCATATTTTGAAAACCACTGCCCTACACTAGTGTTTTCCAACCTTTTTTTTTTAGAGGCACAACACATATTATATAAAGAATTAGAAAAAAAATCCCACGCTGCACCACCAAACTCAAATGTCCCAAACCGTATATATATAATGAAACAAAATCATCTTGTGAAACCTGTGCCTGTTTAGTTGAACACAATGCCGATATTCTCGCAGGAATAGGAGAATGGCGTGCTAGAAAATCTTTTATTTCGTTTTTAAAGCCATCTGGTGACACCTAGTGGAAGAGTATGTCACTATTCTGCGTGTTACTCGCAAAGACCGATAATGTAAATCTTTTTTTTTTTTTCAACTTTTCCGTTTGGTTTTTACTTGGCTCTTTTTGCTCGTTTTTTTTTTCAACTTTTCCGTGTGTTTTTTACTTGGCTCTTTCGGTTTTGAATTTGATTTTGAAATCAAATGGTATCCCTCTTCTTGATGACGTCATTGATATATTTTCATTAAAAAAAAAAACAATAATATGAATGCAGTGAGGTCAGGGGACCAGGAGTCCAGATGTTTGGACATCTGCACTGCCCAACCCTTCTCCTCCACGGCAGTTGTCTTTTTTTTTTTTTTTTTTAAGACAACTGTCGTTTAAATGGGTACATTCTGTGTGTAGTACTACTTTAACGAAGTAGTACTACACAAGTAGTACTACAGAGAATCACACGACTGTCAGAGTCCGATATTGACGTTTCAACAACACCACGACTACGTGACTGAAACTCGCTGCAAACTTCCAGCTCATCACAGCCTCGGTGATTTTACGCCGTATAGTATAACGTGCACGCGTATGTGTACGAGCATCGGTACGGATTCACTCCTCACCTCCAGTATGTTTCCAAACAGCCAGTGTCCCTTTGATCCCGAGAAAATCTCCGTCACTCGGAACTGCGTTCTCCTCGTCCTCCACAGACCGTGGAGTTTATGAACCACGACCAGGACACAGGCCAGAGCCAACCATTGATGCACGTTAGCCCAGGTGGGCAGAAAGACCTCGAACAGAGCGGGCAGCGACATGATCCCTGAGTTGACTGTGTCTCAGAGCAGAGAAATGCCCGTGAACGCAACTGGTACTGAAGGCAATGAATCTGTGACTGGTGGGCGGTGAAACGAGATCAGTTAAAGGGACAGTTCAATAAAAACATGTTTTGAATAAAGGTTTGAAAAAAAA